CTGTGTATTTAATTAACTTATCGTTAATTAAATACAGTAATCGTTATCGTTAAATACAGTATCGTTAATTAAATATGGCTCTGTATTTAATTAACTTATCGTTAATTAAATACAGTAATCGTTATCGTTAAATACAGTATCGTTAATTAAATACGGCTCTGTCTTTAACTTATCGTTTGTTTATCGTTACATAAACAAACTAATTATGCATCGAAGTTAGCCAGATACACAAAACAAAAATATATCACGGTTACAAGTACGAAAACAAATAATAAATTTTAGTTTAGTAAAAGAAGTAGAATAATATTTCAATTCATTCGATGTGCGATACGGCTGCGTATTTAATTAACTTATCGTTAATTAAATACAGTAATCGTTATCGTTAAATACAGTATCGTTAATTAAATACGGCTCTGTCTTTAATTAACTTATCGTTAATTGAATACATAGCCGTATTTATTAACATTCTAACTTATGTAGAGAAATGTAACTCAATTTTAATACGCCATAATGCTGATGATAAGGATTAGCTGGTGCTGAAGTCATCAGTGTGGGTATGGAAGGTCTTTTTCTTCTTGATATGTAAGTATTTATTCTCACATAATATTAAATTATGAATAATAATTATCGGAATAGAAATTTTGAAATATTATGCTTAAAATATATCTTTGAAGATACTGTTTTACAACACAAGACGGATTTAACAAAACAAAGAACGAAATAGCGAATCGCAAAAAACTAAATATCTGAGAAATGCTTATACAAGTCTAAAATAGTTATTTTTATCTTTAGGGGAAAATGTCTCTTGAATTTTCTTCACGGAAAGTTTTATTCTTCCCTTTGAGATTCGTGTAATTTCCAAACAAAACAAAAAAGTGTTCCTTTCCTATCACCGTTTACGGTCAACCCGTTTTTTATCGGATGCATAAATAATAAATTCATTGCTTCTTAAATAAAAGCTATTTATCCGTTAATAAAGAAGCCATTATTTTTTTCTTCTTTTCAAATCTATTAGAACAGCTTTACTTCTTCTTGTGAATTGATTTATTTTTCAGAATAAATAATCCCGAGTAACTGAAGCGAAACGATATAAAACGCTTGTTTAAAAAAAAAATATGAAGGCGGTAATAAAAGTTGACAAGTCTCTCAAAAATAGGAGGCTATTCTCAAGGAGGCTCGCCAGTGCGGAAATTAAAAGTGATTTGAAATAGAAAACGTGAAATTGCGAACTTAAAAATGGAAAACAAAGGAGAAAAACAAAACTAGAACGTTTTATTTCTGTTTCAAATCATTTTCGTACACATCTGGTGAACCCTAAGATTGGACACCTATTTTTGAAAGCTTCGAAACATGTTGACTTTAATTCCGATTGTTTGGAGCAACAGAATTCTTACTTATCATCATGTACTGAGCCGTGGTTGCTCATTTGATAAAGCGTTCACCTTTCAGTGAGGTGAACTGGGCTCGAATCCCATGGCCTGTCGATACGAATTCCACACCGGGCTCGCACCGACCTCAATGCTAATTTAAAAATATCTTCAGTAAAAGACGGGTTAGGTCCATCGAAATACAGTTTAGTTCCATCAAAAAGTCCTCTACGAAGGCAAATTTCCCCCATAACTCGATCCTGAAATTACCTTGTCTTCTGGATTGGGTTCAAAATTACAAGGCTACGGAGTTGAACATTAGTAGTCGTGAACCCAAAAATTGGGTCTGTTATTCAACGGCTGTTACAAAATAAATTAGATCATCGTGTACTATTTACTCTAATTCTTCTTGCCATTTTTTCAAAATCGTTGTTTATATACATATCATTTCAGGTACTTTCATTTTACTTTTAAAAATTGTTCTTCAGCATCGACATACAAAACTGGTTTTTGAGAAAACTTCATTCCAATATTTTCTTTGTAAAAGAATGAGTTCAGCGAGGCAGATATTTTCGAAGACTTGTTGTCGCCTGTATTCATTCAAGTTTATTTCCGATCAATAAAATCCTCTTTCTCAACTCATTCCTTTCCTTTTATTTACAATGCATTTCTGTCGGAGGAATACTTTTTGATAGTTATCAGAATGTGGTAATCACATGAAACAGACGTGTTTAAAATTCTTTTTTGTTGCCAGTTTTGTCCAATTCAAACATTTCATAACCGTCGTTGAACAACCGACTCAATTTCGGGTTTACGTAGACTTGTAACACCGTAGACTTGTAATTTCGAGCTTGAAGCACGCAGTTACAGAATATATGTTTGGTTGTCGTTTGCTAGTAAATGTTATTTTTTTATCTGTAAAGTATTTCGGTACTTTTCGGTTAGTGTTTCGGTCATTTTTTTTTTAATGATGTGTTTAAAAAATAAATAAAATATAAAGTTGACGGAGGCTTATATATTATTGTTCATGTTTTGCTTTTGATCCTAGTTAAATAAAACGAACCACTTTTTCAGAATATAAACGGTATTTATAGAGTATTTAAGGGGTGAAATAAAAAAATTTAATGAATTAGTACAGAACAACTTCACGAAATCGTGCAAAAAACTAAAACTATAGCGACACAATGGATAAACAATTTCAATTAAGTCTTTCATTATTAATGCGTGTTGACCTTCCTGTGTTGTCTTTCTAAATCAGACATCATTCTGCCCTCTTAATTGTTATAAAATTTCGACAATTAAAAATAGCGCGTATCTCTCCTTCCGTCTCCCCCATTTTTGCGCAATTTGATTGTTTTACTTAAATCGTCTTCCTGAGTTCCGATTTAAATATGTTTGTGGAAAATGAGCTTTCGGCTATGCCAACCTTCATTTGTCAACAGGTACCTCAATATCGAATCGAGTTAGCATGTCTTATATATACTAGTGAATTGATGCTTAATAATCTTAGTGGTAGTTAACGCCACAAAGATTTTGTGAGGGACATACCACTAGTAGCCTTCGATGAACGTACCATTCGATGTCCATCGAACTAGTACCATTCGATGAACGGATACTACTAGTAGCCGTATTTGCGAAAAACCGGGAGAGCTGTATTAGGTTCACCAGATTTCGAGCTTTGGTGGTGAGAGCTGTAATGAGTTCGCCGGGATTTTTAGACGTCAACCGCAAGAGCTGTATTAAGTTCACAATTGTGTGCGGGTTCGCTCTTGTGTTACTAGTAGCAGGCGAGTGTGTGCAAAATCCCGTTTTGTGTAGATGAGACTGAGAAGCAACAGCGTGAGGAGGAAGCAGTGACAAATAGCAAGTCAACTACTGTTCAATGAGAACGATTCATCAAAGTAGGCGTTACTTTCGATGTGGACGAGTTCATATCGCTTCCCCAGGTCACCAATGTATCAAGTAGAGTAGAAATAAGCATAATATATATAGTTCATAATTCAATAAGGGTTTCATTTTTATTTGTTTATTTTAGTATTAAGCATTCCAAGTATTTGATTTCATGCATGTTGTATTCCACAAAATTTCAAAAAAGAATAAAAAAAACAGAAACAGGGGAGGTGCAAATATTTTTACTGTCTACCATCATTTTTAAGAGTTTTGGAGTCTTGTGTTTAGATATATATTAACTGCGTAAACTAAGCAATTATTATAATATTTTTCAAAAATATATATAATAATAAATATTAATTCTCTGCGTTTCATAAATATAATAATTTGAAATAAAATTAAAAATATCGGTGACGCACTATAATGAGAAACGAGTTTTCTTTCTTCGTTTCTTTTCTTCATATTTATAAATAAAAATGAATATTTTGTACACACTATAATGAATTACGTGATTTCCTTCGACACATTACAAATATATTGCAAACTGCGATAAAATTCATGTATTTTTTAAACATAACCTATAACGAAAATGAAGATCATATATGTATCATAAATATTTGATGCGTAATTTTGTACACATTTTTCAAAGTAAACTATTTGAACAAAGACTTACTAGTTTGAACAAAGACTTACAAAGACTTAAACATTGAAAGTTGACGAAACAAAGTAAACCATTTTTCAAAGTAAACTACATTTTTCAAAGCTATGTTGATACAATATTAGAAAGCACTCCCTTTTACGAATATAATTGTGTGAGCTGATGAAAAGATTATATCTTTTATTTTCCGGATTTTTAATTTTTTCCTTTTTTTCGGATTTTTTTCCGGTTTCTAATTATTTTTATATTTATTATCATTTTTCTTTTTTTTTTCCTTTTTTTCCTTATTCTGTAATTTTTTCCATGTTTTCTCTGCATTTTGAACATTAAAAAACATTAACAAAAATCCGGAAATGGAAGATATAATCTTTTTATCAGCTCACACGATTATATCCGCAAAAAGGAGTGCTTTCTAATATTGTATCAATTTATCCAAAGCAAAATATATCAGTACAATAGTGTGAGGTGCACTAAAAAAAATTATAAAAAATTTACTACAAATAAAATAGAACACATTAAGTAAAAATATCATGCAAAAATAGAAAATAAAACATAAAGAAAGAACAGAATAAAACATAAAATGAAATTAATAAATAAAACTTATTCTTTTTCTTAATTTTCTTCGTTTTCTTTCTCTTTTAGTCCTTTCTGNTTCTAATATTGTATCAATATAGCCAAAGCAAAATATATCAATACAATAGTGTGAGGAGCACTAAAAAAAAATTACAAAAAATTTACAACAAATAAAATAGAACACATTAAGTAAAAATATCACGCAAAAACAGAAAATAAAATGTAAAGAAAGAACAGAATAAAACATAATAGAGAGAATAACGAAGGAAACTAAGAAAAATAAAAAAATTTATTTGCGGCGTATAAGCAGCAATTAATAAAACAAATTAAAAATATGAAGAAAACATTGAAAAACTATAATAAGGATTTATAAGAAGAGAAGTAGAAAATATTTGTAAGACTTTTATTTTTAAACCAAAATAAATTAAAAATTAGAAAAGGGAAAAACAAAATAATGAAAAGATCATTACACGATATGTCATGTTATGGAAATGAAATGCAAGATTTCTTACCTTCTAATAAACTGTTATTATAGTTGATGCACTCCATTTCATTGGTTGGTTCATTCTGAATAACATAATCTGCTTGTTTTTCCGCATCAGTTATTATATTAAAACTAGAGATGTTTCTTTCCATTTCATTTATATGCCTCTGATGGATTTTATTATTATTTAAACACGGCTTTTTGTTTCAAGCATTGTCTACAGCTATATTCATGAAAAAAATAACAAAGAATGAACTAAGGCCTAAATTGTCGTTTGCGTTTATTTAAAGAATTATAGTTCGCAAAAAAAAAAAAATTCTCTGTGTTTTATTTAATATAATCGGTTATGTTTCAATAGCTTTAATGTCCACAAGCTAGAATGCCAGGTTTAACTAAACAGGTCGTAAATTCAACTTTTTAACAAAATAAGTATTTATTTTTTGTTAAAAATATTGAATTCACTTCGCTTATAAATCATATTTTTCATTGAAATCGTTTGAAGTGATAAAATAATCGTTTTAAATATTAAAACTAATTAAACCGAAACAAAGAATTAATATTTAAGTGTTCTAAAGAGAACTTTTCTGAGGTTGTGTTTGGTTTAAATATATCAGTTTATTTTGTTACTGGTTTTCACTTATAATCCTTTAAGAAACACAGACACAGCCCTACGAGAGAAGACTTCTTAACAGGACTGGGAACTCTCCATCTGTGGAACGCATCTCTCTGCGTCCAGAAGAAACTTCTAATGCCAGAAGATCAATATTTTTACTTTTTCCACCTTAACCATTGGAGAAGATCCTCGCCCTCTATAGTCACTTTTAGAAACTACCATATTTTATACGGTCCGTTTATGAATGATGGTTTCTCTGTTTAAAACGCTTGAAGAATGTACAGTACACAAAATAAAAACTTGAACACCCTGAATTACTTTTCATCCAATGATCAGATTTTTTGGATTTCAGAGCTCCATCTTAATTGTTTTAAGGAATAATATGATAATTAATTACTGCAGACGATATTTTAAACTACGAAATCGGACATTAAAACGAAGTTTTCTGAATATATAAAAAAAATTTCTTAGCCCTTAAAAATATAGGGGATAGCCCATCTATATAGCCCATCATATTAAAAATATAGGGGATCTGGAAGTCCCATTAGTTTGATCAGAAGAGCGATTTACTTCTTGCATATTGCGCCATATAGCTAGAATTTTTTAAGCGATTCGTAGATAATTTTATGCGAAACATAATTTCAAATAATTAATCAACAAGGAAATTCCATCAACAGAATATGTTAAATAAATGTTATTAGAAACACGGGGAAACGAAGTGAGAAATTTTATTTATTTATTTATTTAATTATTTATTTGGTTTTTGGGGTACGTAGAGGAGAAAATGATGTCCATTATAAAAGAATTAGAGATGTAACAAATATTCGGCCGCAATTGGGTATAATATGAAAAAAACGCAACTACTTCGATTTAGTAGGAACAACATATGACGCAATGCTAAACGAATGGAATTTAGTTGTTGTTTATTTAGTTATTGTAATTAGTAGTTGTTGTTATTTGTTTTAGTTGCTGTTGTTTATTTATTTGTATTTAGTTTCAATAACTTTTCTTTATAATGCAATAAAATCTGGCGAGCAGCAGCTATTTAAACGAANCCTTCAAAATATAGGGGATAGCCCATAATCTGGAAGTCCCATTAGTTTGATCAGAAGAGCGATTTACTTTTTGCATATTGCGCCATATAGCGAGAATTTTTAAGCGATTCGTAGATAATTTTATGCAAAACATAATTTCAAATAATTAATCAACAAGGAAATTCCATCAACAGAATATGTTAAATAAATGTTATTAGAAACGCTGGGAGACGAAGTGAGGAATTTTATTTATTTATTTATTTATTTGGTTTTTGGGGTACGTAGGAGAGAAAATGATGTCCATTATTAAAGAATTAGAGATGAAACAAATATTCGGCCACAATTCAGTATTCGGCCCTCTTGCCGAGTATTCGGCTGACCGAATATTCAGCTCAATGCTACGTCTGAAAGTATTATTTTCAAAAGTATTTTTTGACTAACTTTCTTTGGGGGCCGATCGGAATAAATTTAACTAATATGATATCGTGTTTTTTACTATATATTATTAGAAATAATTTATATTTTGAAAGACAAATGAGAAAACAAAATTTGAAAATTGAAATTAGATGACTTTATACTGAACAATAAATTTTGCGATGCTGTTGTTTTTTCGTTTTGTTGAAAATCTTAATTGTCAGGTGATACTATACAGCTTTATTGTATTCAGGCAGCTGAAACAGGTTTGAACTTGTTTATGCTCCTGTATCAATTGGTTAACATTGTAAAGCAATACGTTAAAGATAAATACAAATAGGAAGTATGTAAAAAATCTCATGGATGAAACTCATTACATGTATGTTTAAATATAACAGTATTGCATACAAACTCGTGCAAAAGATGTAATTATCAAAACACTACAGTGCGTCTAATAATTTGATCTAATTATTATAATACACTAATATGATACCTGATATTATAAATATTCTATATTTATACAATATATCGTCTAATGTATCCAATCGTAAAATTTAAATCATAATTCGCCTAATTTAACCAATTGATACACAAACGTAAACAAGTGCAAACCGGTTTCAGTCGCGTAAAAACAATAAAGCTGTATAGTGTATCACCTGATAATTATGATTTTATATGGAATCTTACAGTGTGTCTAATAATTTGGCCAGAGACTGTATGTGAAAAAGTTATATTTTTGTTTAAAAATTAAAAATTTCTGTTTTGTTTTCTATCCAGCATTTTTTTTTTAAACAAATTTTGCTTTTGTTATGATGCAGCCCCCTATATCAATAATACAGTTAAATTTGGATTATTTTTCAACGATGACTCAGCTTATTTATACAGTCAAACCCCGCTATAGTGAACACGGTTTATAGTGAACTCTCGGATATAGTGAACGAAATGTTCGGTCCCGTGCCTTGCTATACACGCATAATGTTATTTTTTCTGGATATAGTGAACCAAAAAAGTGATGAAGTTGGATATAATGAACTTTTTTCTGTCTTCGGCTGATTTTTTTTTCCATTTTTTTTTATAATAATTTTGAAATTTCTACTTCAAAATTAGTATATATACCGATTTTTAAAACCATCTATAGAGGGGAATGAAGCGATAAGCATTCCTTGTTTGCTTCTTTTATCTCACTTACCCATCCCTAAACAAAACAAGCAGATGTTTCCAACCCAGGCAGATGATGCACCTGTAAGGTGTCAGTGGGATCAATATGCATTTTCTGTCACAGGGAATGAGTAATTATTCATCATTGGTCAAAGGGTTGGACACTAATATGTGTTGATAAACCCTCATTTCAATTACTTTTTGCTCTTAGTTCAGTTAAAAAAATCATGCAAATGTTTCAAATTTAACTATGGCGAGCAGTAAACGTAAAACGTTGATGATAAAATGGACATAATCAAAAAAATTGAAAATGGATGCTATCAAGCTGATATTTGCAGGGAATACAAACTATCCAAATCTGCAGTTTGTAACATATGGAAAAATAGGCAATTAATAATTTCTGCTCATGAAAAAAATTTAGATGGCAGAAAAATTTTGAGAAAAGCAGATCACAAGGATGTTGAAGTATTACTCCCGGGTTCACCAATCGAAGAAGTCGCAATCTTCCAGTATCTGGACAAATGTCGATGAATTTGCTAAGCGATTTTATGAGAATACTTTTATGTGCTCGAATGGAAGGTTAGACAGGTTTAAAAAGCGGAATAACAGAAATTCAGAAAAAATTATCTGAGAGTCGGGAAGTGTTTCCGTATCTGATGTTGAGGATTGCTCATCAGCTAAAGAT